ATTCCACCAACTGTGTAAGTGACAAGCAACTATAGCTGGTTAAAACCGGCTTTCACCGCGCCAAATCCGGTCCCCCTGACACGCCCCACCATCCGCACGAACAAGACTGTAATGCAGTCTTGTTTGCCAACGCGGGCTTTCTTTGAGGGATCTTACGTTGATGCGGCTAGCTAGCTAGCCCTACAAGTTAGCTAACCATAGCTAGCTAGTTGACTCAAAATATTGTAACACTGCCACTTGATTCGACTGAGAACTGGTTCGAGTGTCACACATGTAACTTCATTTCCAATCTCGTTTTCGCCACAACATGGATCCCTTGACCGATGCCCTGCGAACGTGCACCAAAGTGTTACAAACAACGGTCTTTTTTTTCTGAATTTTCCCGCTCAACTGAACTCGCTGCATTCCATACGTTCGCCTCGCATAGTACGTTTGTATTCTAGTCAATAGCAGTAATAGTACTGATGGATAATACCACAGAGAATTTAACAACCCATACAGTTCAAAATTTTTCATTGATTCAAACATGGACATTCAACAACTTATCAAATGTGCTAACGACAAGGCAAACTACAATGTAGGTCTCCAATGGCTTTAATGACTAGAATAAATCTAATCTATGTTAGACAATAACAAATACTCGTAAACAAACCCACATTTTCTACGGATTTACACGTAAATTTAGCGGCAAAAACGGTTGTTTGAGAACTACACGCTTCGTGGAGAATAAAAAAAACTGCTTGAAACAAAAAAAACTAGATTCCAGAAAAATCACAGACAAAAGCAGTTTGTATTTAAGTGACTCTTCTAGCGCGTGTAATATCTAAGCATGGTTAGTGGCTAAATTTATACATATTTTGTTGACTACCTCCGAAGAAAGCAAAGAAAAGAAGATTTCCTCTCAGATTACGAAGCAAATGTGTTCACTTGCCGAATGAAATATTCCTCGACAAGAATTCAAGTATTTCCAGGACTCTGAAGTAAAAAGCCACATTGATTTCTCAGGAAAGTATATTCGAGTCCTCATAATACATATAAACCTGTGGGGCCAGCCAATATACAAATCAGTGTTCCTTCCAGACCAACCTGCTTCCAATTAATTGACCTCGAGGGGAGCGAAGGTCCAGCTGGCCAAGAGCAGACCCAGTATCTGATTCTCAGACTATGAGCGCGCTTGTTAAAGACACTCCCCGCCCTCGAGTAATGGTGGACGCCCTACCTGGTATACTAGTCTGGCCCACAGTTCTAAAATTATCCCTTTTTCCCTGGCTTCACGTCAAAGGCAGTTGGCACGATAAATCCTCCAAGACGAGCAGGACTAATACGCCTGGCAGGACGGAATTCCGCGACCCTGAGCAGGCGCTGCATAATGCCTTTTCCAGGGAAGGTGCCCTTATAAGCGGCCTA